AAATCCCCCCCAGCCACAACTTCGCACCCCTGGTACTCCAAATGAAGTTTCATGCCCCTGGTACTACACTGTGTGGGAACAAAATATTTTCTAATTGCTGTTGGCACTTACAGATTATTATTAGTTCAGACAGCTGAGTACCAGGACCACGTGTCAGAACATTTTTAAAGTTCAAACAGTGTACCAGGGCACAGGAGTCAGAATACTTTTCAAGTCTCAGGCAGGGACCCTCTGCCCCTCTCTTTGTCCAGATGGCTGACTTCAGTGCAAGCAAAATTTAATGGTGCTATACAGACTATTTACAGTGCAGTGAGAAGAAAAGCTAAACAGGAACATGGGGATGACAAACCGGGCCTAGCTGCGGACGCTGGGGTCACTCCTGAGCTGGCCGGTAGAAGTGGGACACAGCTGATGAGACAGAGTAGAAAACATGTGGTGAGCAGATGGTATCTCGTGACTGTGTACCAACCTGGCTGGTGGATGAAACAGAGTAGAAAACAGGTGAGCAGATGGTATCTGGTGACTGTATACGACCTGGCTGGTGGAAGCTGGAAGGGTGTTGATGAGCAATGGTCCGGAGGAAACTGTCCATGGAGGAGATCAAGGAGAGGAAACAGCGTGGGCAGACAAAAAGACATAATGCAAAAACTGGATATACGAATATCTAATGGTGACGAGAAGAAGGCACTGGTTGTCACCCTGAGAGCAATGACAAACAGGCAACAGAGTGGTAAGTGAACTGGGTATCCTGAGAACAATGACGAACTGGCAACAGAGTGAGAAGGGTATAAGTAGGGTGAGGGACTAGGTGAATGCAGCTGGTGTAAATCAAGGAATCAGTGGCAGGTGGGCAACGTGGAAAAAACCGAGACAGAAGTAATAAAAGAGGGAGGTGAGAAGGGCGGGCGCAGCCGGGCAAACCTGACAGGCAGTCGGAAAGAACGTTTTTCAGTCATTTATTATAATTTAAAATTTAAAAATACATTTGTAATATGCGAAGCATCTGAATTATTAAAGCAAAATCATTGTGATTTAAAAATAAAATGTTGATACAGTTTAATATACTATAACATCTACTCCAAAATATGAAAACCCATCATTTACCAAAAACTATTAACCAAAAACAATTATGCTTAACATTTTGCATGAATCTACAGTATTGATCAGATCAGTGTGTTTTTATTTTATGCTTATCATGTTGGTGGATCATTCTAATGGTTGCTTCTCAACTTAGATTTTCACTCTCCGATGTGATGTATTATGGGCACTGTTTAAAAATATGGTCATGGCCTTCATGTACATTGAAAACATCTTCCTTTTCCTCTGCTGTCTGCAAAAAATCCCATTCTAAAGAAATTACAATGCAAGCGCTGAGGGAGAAAAGACAGTTTATATATACACACACCCCATTCACACAGCTCAAGAGAGATGTGTGAGGTTGATAAATAGTTATCACCTCGTGATCACAGAAGAACCTGTCAGACCTGTACTGTGGGCACTAACACAAAAACATCTCTTAGGCAATGGCATGAGTCACTGAGTAAGAAATCCAAGTGGGCAATGTGAAATACTGTACAAAGAATCTGAACAGGACAGTAAAAGTTTTCCTGCCTCTGTTTTCATCTGTAATGTGAACAAACGGCTCAGGAATTCAGAACCAAACATTTAAAAATGCTGCCCTACAGAGAAATCAGTCTCCCTATAAAATGTGTAGATATCTCCCACTAGAGCTCAGCAAATATGAACAGCACCTACCTGTGGGCTGTACAAGCCCAATCATTCCACTAAATGGAATAAACACCATTTTGTGGTTGTTAGAAAGTTTGAAAGAGCACCTACAGTAAGTGTCTTCAAGGTCTGTTTAAGTACAAATTTCTCTCATTGTTTTCCCACAAAGCGACAGCTGTGGTGGGGAGATGGCAACAAAAACTGGGAAATCTGCACCAACATTTGAAGATACCCACATGATTTTTCTATCAAGACTGAAATAGTTCTAAATTTCAAATTTTTCTGCTGAAATTTACATTTTTTGTTTCTCCCCTCCTCCATTCAGATTAGAGGAATTATATGTCAAACTAAATGGAATATTATTTAGAAATTCAGATTAAGTGGGAACCGATGACTACATAAAATTGTTAACATCAAGATCAAAGAGAGCTGTTAAAATTCCTACTGGGGCTTAGAATAAGAAAACTAACTCAAAGAAAACTAAATCAAAGTGATTAAGATAAAACTAAACGGTACAACCTAATAGGCTATGACTCAAACCATGTACAGTCAGTGACAGTAGGTCAAAATAAGAAGATTGTCAGATGGTTGTGAGATTGAGATGCACATGGACGGTAGTGCAAATGACTAACAGCAGCAGATATGACGGTAAAAACAGTCAGCAGCAGATTTACATGTAATACAACAAGAAGGGGGAATGTACTGAGTTTGTGCAAAACAGCAGAGGTAGTCTTTTTATGTTCTGCGGTGGGTTACGGTCCATGGGCAGAGAGGGGGAGGTAATGGACAGCGTTCAGCATCCTCACAGCCTGGAGGATGAAGCTGTTTGTAAGTCTGGTGGAGTGGGCCGCAGGCCCTGAAGACTTCAATATCTTCTCCCAGAAGGCAGGAGTCTGAAGTGGGAGTGTGAGGCATGGGAGGTGTGAGGCGGCTGTTGAAGATGTCCATAAGGGAAGGCAGAGGGGCACTGATGATCTTACTGGCTGTATTCACTCTGTGCTGCAGGGGTCTTC